TCCATTTCCATGATGTTGCACTGCTGCAGTGAACCCCTTTGATGATGTTGACCATGATATAAAGTTGCAGACTGTGAGAGTGCCCATAGTGGATTATGGCCATTCCTTTCTGAAGAATCAAGACATTGCGATAATGAAGAGCACAGCATTAAGCCAATATAATCAGAAATCTAAAATTATCGAGCGTTCAAGTCAATTAGTGCGCATGGAGACAGAGTACAAACATAAGATAATAATCGCATATCGGGTATCTTTTAAAATAGCCAAGAAAAAGCGTTGGAGATGGATGACATGATCGGGTATAGAGGTTTATCATTGACCATCCTGTCTGATGGAAATAAAATGTGAACGCAATGACAAAAAGGTATGCAGCCCAGAATCGCATAGTACAAGTCGCTAAGCCCAAAGAGTGAAATAATAGCCTGTGTCAATCGAAGAAATGAAGGGACGAATTCAGAATGAAAGGCATCAAAAAGGGGTATTGTGCAAATGTATGAACAAGCAAGAAAAAAATTGAATCGTCCCGCCGGGAGACGAGGGCAACAAATGGAATCACGTACTTGAATCAGCAGAGATAGATGGCGTAGGAGATAGTGTTCCAATAGATGGCGATTCAACAAATGACAATTCGGAGGCCTCCACAGGAGAAAAGACGGCGTTATAGTCGGTTGAAGGACTCAAAAGACCACGGCCGCTCTCACCAATTTCGCCCAACTCTTCAGGTGCTAGAACTCGGCCACCCAGCTCAACGTCTTGAACATGGACATTGTACTCAAGGGCCCGCTGTCCTTCCTTGATGAGTTCCTCCGTCCATCCTAGACAGCGCTTGAGGCTTTGATTCATTCTCTGGCTGTCCACCAGCACCTCCTGATGTCGCGCCAAGTCAAGCATGACGCGTTTCTCATCATTGACACGGTGCTTGGCATCATGCTCGGCCAGCGAGCTCGGACTCAGGATGCTTTCATCCGCAGTTGAATCCTCGTCGCTGATGTCGGACATATCATCATGTGACCGGTTGGAAATCTCGCTTTCACCCTCATCCAGCTCACTCGTTACTGATAATGCCGGTCCAGAGAATGAACGGGTGGAAGGTGCCATTGATATCCGTCCCGAGCGGCTCAGTCGTCGGAACCGCCGAAGCTCCGCCTTCTGTTGCCGCATTTCGCGCTCCAGGGTACGATTTATGGCTAGCAGTGAAGAGTTGCTAATTTCCAAGTCCATGATCTTGCGCTCAGTGCGCGCGTTGAGAGCTGCCTCGCTCGGGCCGTCCGATTTTCCAGGACTGAGCGGTGCAGGAGGGTATGTATCAGTTGAGGCGGTGGATACATTGCTGAAGATGCGAGGGCGAAGGGTGGGTATCTGCTCCGACATCACGGGCGCTGCCCCTTCACTAAAATTGCTTCCGGATACGATGACTGGGCTTGCTCGCAGGCTATCTTGTGGATGATTGCCATGGCGACCTGAGTCGACGCTCGAGGACTTGGTATGTCGGATCGGTTGCGGTCGTGATTTCTCGCCGATTGTACTGGACGACGGCGAGCCAAGACGCGGGATAATCCCTAGACCACTCTCAGCACTGACAATATATGGTAACCTTAGATCTTCCGGAGGGTGTGGAGCCCCATCTGAAAGACCGGAAGAACTCAAGCGTGAGGAGGAAGATGCTGGTTTGCTGGCGGGCAGGGGGCGGGGAAGGCCACCCGATCGACGTTTGGCAGAAGTAGATGTAACATTCGATTGTTCCCCTAGGGGTTTTCGCTCTTCGTCTCCGTTTGCATATATGAAGCTCGAGGCTGGGGATGTTTTTCCCTGGGGCCTCGGACGAGCGGCATCTGGCGGCTCAGAAGGATGTGATGATCGTGCATCGGACGCATGAAAGAACAGCGGAGTTCCCGATGTCATATCTGAGAAGGAATTGGGACGTGATGGAGGTTGATTTTCCGCCGTCAACGTCTTCGCCCTCAGACTTCGGGATTGTTCCGGCTTGATCCCGCGAGCCGGGCTGCGGTCTCGACGGCCATAACCGATTGTTGACTGGGAGTAAGGTGTATGTGGGGAGGGAGACGGGGCAGGTGATATGGTTGTGGGGGAGTAGATAGCGCCATCTCGCCGGGTGGTTCGGGGACCAGATCGTGGAGTGACGTTGGCGCTTAGAAAGGTCGGGACCGCGGGGGAGTCGTCTTTGGAGGGGGTGGAATAGGGGTGATCGGATTGTGCGAGGCGGCGCGGAAATCCTGGACCTGAACCTGGACATGGACCTGGATTTGGACTTGCAAGCTTTGGTGTGAGGGGAGCCTTGTTGCTCCTATGGAATGCAGCGCTGAGCGTAGGTGTAAACGGTTTGGCGAGACTGCCATTGTTTTGTTTATCGTAGGTCATAGTTGCGGGGGGTGCAAGTCATGGCATTGCGAGGTGCCACAGTACATGAGCATGGTGGCACCGGCCAATAAAAAGAATCACCCGTCTGATTTTCGTTTGAACAGGGAATTTGTGGCCTGATGGAAGGGAAAGTCAAGAAAGTCGAGGAGAAAGTCGAGTGACGAAAACAATGCCACCCGATTGGGTTTAGGGCGCCGCTTCACCGCAACGTGGAATTCCTTACTTCAACGAACAAGGGCGTCGGACTATTGATATTGTGATCTTAGAGAACTTGTGAGACCTCTATTATCTCTGGGAATTGGTTCTACAAGGCCCTCGATTGACATGTCATTGCTAATATACCCAAAGGTAAAGAAAAATCCCCCCCCTATATCCTTCTCCCTAGATAACCCGCTTCTAATCCGAATCTGGCGGCTGTCAAGTGGAGACTTGAAAAACGGTGAGCCTGCAATGAAACAATAATTGTTGCATTCCGCACTAAGCTTGGGTCTGTGGAGAGCAGGAGGTCGGTGCTGTTCTGTCAAGAAGACTGACATATTGCATGCCTGAGGAAGAATAAAAAAGTCATTGAAAAAAAAGCCGCTTCTGTTTTGGATCTATTTCAGGAATACCAGCCTGTGATGGCGTCTTCCTTTTTCTGGAACTGTGGGGTATTAAGGGTGTTTCTTCCGAGGTGTCCTGCACCACTTCGCGAATTGTCTGTCTAGAGAGACAGAAATCCACATGCTCGTTGAATGTGCGATCATCTGCGATCTGTGGCCGTGTGCATATGGGACAATCCCACATCGGGGGTGCTTCAACCACCTCTGAGGCCGCAGAGGCCTCTGGCTCACGAACGACAGAAATATCGGGTGTTTCTTGACTCAGCTGCTCTAGGTCATTCATCTCGTCCTGGATTTCCTGGCGAGCCGCTGCCTCAAAAGCCTCCTCGGCACAAATTTCGTGATCTGTATTTATACCACAGGCCGATATAGGAGTGGACTCAGAAATAGATTCAGAGGCGGGTTTTGGTTGTGTGGCTATGCCGAAAAAGTTGATCCCAACCTTCTGAGTGCTGACCAAATTCGAGCAGCGAAGACCTAGAAGCCGTAGCTTCAGATTCGGAATATCTTTCTCAAGTTTGGCAAGCATGGGCAAAGCAAAGGAGTACAAGTCTTTTGCCAGAGAGACGGCACGAGATGGAGCTGTCTGTCGCGTGAGCACTTCGAAAGTATGCAGTTTGACTTTCAAGGCAAGCGTGCGGCCTTTGAACTGAGTCCGCGCCAGATCCTTTTCAAGCTCCTGCGCAGCCCACCAGAGTTTTGCTCGCAGTTCCTCCTTGTCTCCAATGTCATGAAACGTGGTCTCTGTACTGACACTTTTTCGTTCGTGGGTCTCAACAGGTTCGATTTTGGTCCGCCCAAGGCCGAGGTAGCACTGGGCCAGGAATTGGAAAGCCTTCTCTCCAAATAGCTTGGTCAATAAAGCGCGATGTGGGAAGATATCACCGCACTTCTTCACACCTATCGATTCCAGCTCTCGCTCGAATACTCGGCCAATTCCATTGACTTTACGGACCGACAGGTCACGCATGAATTCCATGATTGCCTCGCGTTCATTGGGGACTTGAAATTGCCCATTGGGCTTGTTGAGGTTGGAAGCAATCTTTGCGATCTTCGCATTAGCACCAATTCCGGCTGAAACGGACACCTTGGTTGTTTCCAATATCTCCGAACGCATCCGTCGAACAACCTCATCAGGCTCTAGGTGATTTTCGTCGCAGTATGCTGTGATATTCAAATAGGCTTCGTCTATACTCGCACTTTCGAAAAGAGGGTCATATTCGGCCATGATAGTGCGAATTTCCTTAGCCTTTGCGGCGTATTTGTCGTAGTTCTGAGGCAAAAGAACCAGCTGCGGGCAGAGCTTCTTCGCGACAAACGAAGCCATACCACTTCTAACGCCAAATTTCCTCGCCAGATAATTGCAGGTTGTCAGGACTCCCTTGCCCACCGCCATAGGCACTGTCTTCAACTCGGGCCGGTCAAGCTCCTCGACGGCGGCAAAGAACGCGTCACAATCCACATGAATGACATGTTGAGAAAGATCGCGGCTCAATTCTAGCTCAGCGAGGTATTCATCAGCACGTCGTAGCTCATTGCCCAAGTCTAGTCGTTCTAGCCGTGCCTTTTCTTTTAAGATTCGTTCGATTTTCAGCGTGAGATTCCGATCCCGATCTTGTTCGTGATTAAAGAATTTAGAGCCCTTGGAGGCATTGTAGATAATCTCCGATACCTGGAAACTCGAGTTCAGCTATAGCTCAATATAGATACAATCATTATGCGCACCTTTTGCTGATCCACCGAGTCTTGGCCCGCTTTGGTTAAAGAAGGACCGAGAAGCTGATATTTCAGAGTGCCAAAATCCCCATCAGGCGCCGACTCAGGTTGTGGATCACTGGCAGGCTTCTCCCCTGAGGACTCCATGTTTTCCAGCGTCCCATCGATGGCTGATGGATGAACATGAAGAGGTGAGAGCGCGGGATTCAATTTGACGCGGAGTCACGTGGACACGCGTTTCAATTTGCGCGAGCCTCTCAGCTACGTAGCCCAACGCTGAACATAATCCTCAGCCTCGTCGTCATGTGGATTCTTGATTCCACCGGTGATTTTCTAGAAGGTTGGATATTTAATCGAAAGGGATCGATCGGTCACTAAAACCTCACAGGGAAGCGTGTGTGGCTGCGCCCTGGAAAGAAGTATCTATTCGGTCGATTCTATCGAGATGGAGGTATGGCCTACTTCAGTTTGAGGATCACACAGTTTGACTGACCTCTTATTGAATAGTCCGCCATGCTGTCAACCACAATTCGATATCCCGCAAGCATATGACTATTGAAATATCACCAGTCAATCCGAGAGATGGGGTACGGTTGACTCCCCCGCGATGATATGCGTTCTCTGTCTAATTCTGACCCAGTTATCACCACGAGCGCGATCCAGTATCACTATAACCGATTTGGACTCGAAGAAGGGAACAGTTGTTGACGAAAGGAGAATCCAAGGAGAATGCAAGTTGGAGAAGAGCGATGAGCATGTCATCCAGCTCGCGAAATACCAGCATACGCTCCGGTGCGCATATCTGCTTATGATCTGATTGAATTCCAGCTGATGATCTTGATAGGATCAAATGGGAACCCGTGGTTCTAACCTTGTCAGCCTCTTCCAAGCAGGTGCGAGGTGAAGATCCTCTAGCCCATGTTCGCTCACGTCTAGAAGACCTCGACATTAAAACTATCATGGAATATATTGTCGACCACACAACACATGTGGTACAGCGCAAACGGAATACAGCCAAGGGTCTTCAGGCCCTCGTCAACGGGAAGTACATAGTAGATGATTCATATATCGATGCACTCGTCTACGCGGCTACCCCCAGTGATCTTGAGAACGTTGAGTCACTCTGTCCTCTCGAAACCGACTTCGAATTGGCGTGGCCCGATCCAAATCAACATCTTCCACCTCCCGGAAAAGAGCCAACCCAGCGCCCCGCCGCTGCTTTCGCTCCGAAGTCCGCACGTCTTAATGTCTTCGACGGATATACATTTATCTTCGGTGATCCAGCCCAGTTTGAAAATCTGCAAGGTCCAATCAACAATGGCCAAGGAAAGGCCCTTTTCTACCAGGTTGAAGATGGGGTCACAACTGCCGTAGATATCGTTCGGTTCATGAAAAAGGCAGCGGGAGGGAAAGGCGTGGGAAGTGAGCGGCACGGTTCCGGTGGTGTCGTTCTTGTTCGCTTTCGATCGAAAGGAGACCTCGAACAATGGTCTATTGACGTCGGTAATGAAGTTGCTCTAATGACGGACCAGCGCGTGATAGAGCAACGAGAGTTCCTTGACGCTATCCTGGGAAATGATGCATCACCCCTCTGTCGTGCCTTGCCCACGGAGGAGGGCTCTAGTCAGATCTCCGGATCTACACCAGCGGTTGAGGCTGAACAAACAAGCCAACGAGCAGTTTCTGTCGTGTCCGAATCGGTATCGCCCCCTGATCCTAAGCCTAGTCAGCCCTCAACAGGTCGGGCCAAGACCCCCCGTGTGCGTGCATACGTCAGTAAAATGAAAACCTTCGATGACGGATTTGACATGGAATCTGTCCCAGTCTATGCCCCCGAAGAAGAGGACATCAATATCAACTCCACTCAGACCATGGATGTCGAAACTCAAGTACCGTCCCAAGCAACCCAGTCCCTGGATACAGTGAAGGAAGAGCCCGAGGAGGATACGGTCGCTGTTCTTCTTCCGGGCGCCCGTACAATGAAACGTCGTCGTGCAGAGATGACTCGCCATCACCCAGAGGGTGAGGCCGTAGCCCCCGAAACGGAGGCCCCGAAACGCAAGCGACCTAAACTCGACGTGCTCGAGGCCGCGCGAAAGCACCGAGAAGATGAAGAGCAACAACGCAAGGCCGAGAAAGACTCACATCCAGCCGACTTAGGTGATGTAGATGTGGACCAATTGAGGAATCTGGCTATTGTGGAAGAAATGGAGATTCCCGTCCGGATTGTACCAGCGCGCGAAGATAAAACCTCGGACCGATGGGACGACCAATGGAATGGGCGCAAGAACTTCAAGAAATTCCGGCGAAAAGGCGAGCCGCGTAGTCGAGCTCGCATCCAGACGGTAATCGTTCCCCTAGAAGAAGTAACCCGCAAAGACTATGGAATCGGCGATCACTATTGGGCCGGCAATTCCACCGAGACGACTTCTCGAATCGAGCCTGAAGCTCCGGACTCTGATGATCGTCGCGATGAAAATTTCCCATCACGCTCCGAGCTGACAGCGACTGCACGCACGTCGCCTGAACCAACTCCAAACCCAACTCCACCTAGGCGCCCGAAGAGGGCCCGCGAGGAGCGCGATTCGGACAGCGATGATGGCCTTCGTTTCCGTTTCAGGCGTAAGCGTTAGCTTCCACTCTTTTTTTTCCCCTTTGCAATGGTTTTGTAGCGTCTATTCTGCATCGATACCCTTTCATTCCTTTACTGATCTGTGCGTTGTGTATGTCTATAAGCAAATAATGTCAGAGCTGAATCACAACCCCTTTGGATTATCTCTGTCATGTTTCTCATTGCCCGGAAGACGGCATCACTATAGGGCCAAGGGAACTCTGGATATAGTTGTAAATCAATCAAGCATGTATACTGCAACCTCCGATCGGTTCTAATCATGTTCATGTTATGTTCGTTCCTTAAATCCCAATATCAAGTGTTCCAACAGTCAAAAGGTCTGTGTCGCGCAACGTCTCTCCTCTTTACATTTAACCTCCTCCCCTTAAATACATCATCACTTGCTTCCTCTATCTATGTAATTTGCGTCTCTTGATTTCTTTAGTTAGATTCTCTGTTCCTTTTCATCTTCTTCTCATCTCTTCACTTTCGACCGGGCTTATCTCTCTCCCCACCAATCCCATTCAACTTGCCTCATCAAGCTGCCCAACAGCCTGATCAGCGAACCCCTCCATTTCTGTAATTTGTTCCCTTTATTTGTGAATTTGATCCGCTGAGATCTACCGTCTGGAGCGAGACTGGACATCGGGCCCGTGCGGCTTTGATATCAACGGTCAACCGCAGCTGTGAGGTGAGTATGGTGCATATGCATAGCGCCGGCATGACCTGTTTGCTGACTGACGTATGCCAAAACTCTAGTTATCAGACTGTATTTTCTCTTCTGAAGAAGAGTAAGTCGCACAAATGACCTCCAACTATCCTAATCATGTCCCATCATCATCCCTACCGCCCCTCATGATCTCCGCAATTTCTCCTCCCCAGCCAGTGTCAGTCAGTTTGGTAGCCAGTGCGCCCGTTGCACTTCCTGCAAGCGTAGGGGAATCAAACTGCAGCACCAGTACAAAGATTCTTTCCCGGGACATCAGTGCAAACCGCACCTCCAGCCTTATTTCTGTCATTGAGGACCAATCTCATCTCCCCGCAGAAGTCCCCGCATTGTCTATGTCAGCCCCGACCCAGTCGGGGATCCAATTTGTGAACCTCCCAGTTGAGATCCATGAGATTATTCTGGATCATATATTTGGCAAAAGAGCCTCGGCTGGTAATCATACAGCATATGGTAAATCTTCTGCCCAGAACTGGAGTAAGGCTCTCCATCATCCGCGGCGCAAGGCCCTTTCCAACCTAGCCTTGACTTGCCGGGTATGGACTAGACTTGTTCAAAGCCGAATCTACCGCCATAGTGAGTTTTATCTGACTGAGAATTTAAATTTCACAGAGATTGTTCTGATAACTAACTTTTTACATAGTCAGAATCAAGGGTAGCAGAGATGAATTGGCCACCTGTGTGCGGTGGTTCAAGAGAAACCCGCGTTTGATTCCTTACGTCTGTCATATTGAAATTTGGATGCCTATCTGGGGAGATCGAGCTCCCCAGCTTAATATTTCTCGCTCGAATGCGGAGCAACATGCCGCTCAGAGAGCCGCGGGACCTGTTGTACCCATGCAGTGGAATCATGACCATCAGGGAAATGATATGTTTTATTATCACCGTGCAACCAACAACGCTTCTTTGGAGGAAATCTTCGGGCTTGTTCGACGCTTTTTCCCCACCGCCCGCGTTCTCACTCTGGATGGTGGCCACTGCAAAAACCCGCCCATGGTCCGACATTTCCGCCATAGTCGTGGCATGTACAGTCTGCAGGCTCTCATTCAACGGCGTCTACCCGTTCTTGAACACATACAGACATTTATCATGATGCACGTCTTCACTCGTCCTCCAGCTACAATCCGACACATTAATCTCAGCCTGGAGGGATTCTACAACAATGATAGTCTGCTGGGTAGGCTTTCTGGACCTCAAAACTCGCTTCCTCCAATCTGCAGCCTGCTTGGCGAAACAGCTCCACGTTTAGAGTCTTTTACCTACACTGGTCGTGTTTGTTGGTACTTCTTTGAGAGATTGAAGCAAGGGGCAACAGCAATGGGTTCTTATTCTCGGCTCAGGTCATTGGACCTTGTAGTCAAGGCGTGCTGCCACAATAAGAAGGTCGACAGATCGCATCACTGGTCGCAGATGAGCCAGGGAATAGGCGGAATTACCAGCCTTGTGTTTATTCGTGCGTTTGAGGCAATGGTGGTCAAGGCAATCGAGTGTCTACCTGTACTCCCTGCCCTGGAGTATTTGCGGATCCGTTTCATCGACCTCGACTCAAGATGTCCGCCTCTGAACCCTTATTTCCAACTTGTCAATAATGAGTGCACGGGCCTGTGGAGTGAAGACATTCTGAAAGCTTTGCGCGTGAACCGACCATCGGCCTCATTTCTCGCACTTACAGATGGACTAGCCGCAGAGTACAGTGACCAGCAAATTGTAGGTGCCATGATGCCCCGAGCTCGCCCCCTGGGGATCCAAGTGAACACGTACAGTCTTCTTGCCGACAGCTCCAGCCCTTACTAGGCTCACAGCTTGCCTTGGTCTTTTCTTGAGCGTTCTGACCTTTTTTCATCTTTTCCTCTCATGATCCAGCATAATACCCCTTCATCGTTTCCGACATCTCAGCGAGTTTCTTGTTCAGCATTCAACATTTGCCCTGCCGTGATATCACGCCGGTGGATGTCATTGTAGGACATATGTGGGTTACCATATGCTGTTCTGGCATGATCATTCTCATGCTTGTTTATTTTTTTTTTTTTTTTCGATTTGTGTCAGAGTACGCAATCGTCTTGAGGGGCTGCGACCTCCGATTTGGAGAAGTGAAACAGAAACCGTGCTCGATGTATCTTTTCTTGTCGCCTTGTTTTTCTGTTTTCGCCTTGTCATCTTTGAGAGGGCGAGCTGTTGTTTGAGTACAAAGGCACTATCCTCTTTCGAAATCATGCGCCGATTGAAGTAGTTTATCGGGAAATTCGACAAATCGGAGAATTGTGTTCTTGTGATTTCGCCGGTTGGCTTAGTTTTCTAGGTCCATCACACACATATCAGATGGGTTACTATGTATGTGTTGTATGTAGTTCAACATCATCCTGATCAATCATTGGTGCTTTTATCTAAGATCCGTAACTATGTACACATCTCTATTAAATACATGTACTTCCCCTCTCATTTTAGTGCAACTGTGATCTCACCAGCACCGTCCCCACCATCCCGAACGATGATGCCCAGAATCCAGACATTCACGGCGAAGAAGAAGAGCCCGGCGAGGAACAGCCCAGGTACGAAGGATGGCAGCCCCAGAAATTCGAGGTTGTAACCTTGGTGCAGCCAAAGGGCCTATATGGTTTGTCAGAGTTGAAGTGCCAAGTAAAAATTGTGGCATCAGAGGATCAGTAAACAATACATACCTGTCCAGCAATCCATAGTATGGCTGCTGATATGCCCAAAGCCGGTTTGCGAATAAGCGAGGAGGAGGGCAGGTAAAACGGAAGCAGGATGAGGTACCAGAGGAAATACTAGACAGGTTAGCTGCCAGTATGACCATTTTCGGATGAAATTACTTACCTGGCTAGTACAGACTTTATTGAAAGTGACAAAGGCAAAAGTCTGCGCGAGCATCGCAGTAGTCAAGCTCTTCTTTGCTAGAACAAGAGGCAAAGCAACAACCACAAGGATCAACTGCGGGAGGAAGGCCAGTGCCTCAAAGCGAGTTTCGGCCCCACCGGCAGCGGACAGATATAGCAGTGTACTATAGGGGGAGAAATTGTGGCGGTGGTCGATGCGAGTAAGATGGTGGAAGAATGTGTGATGCAGGAATGGTTGGCCATACTGGAGGTACATGACGAGATTCAATGCCACGAAACTGACCAGTGCTGCGACAGTAAATTTCACCCGGGACGGAGTAATGAATCCGAGAGCCTTTGACAGCAGACCTAATCCAGCCGCTGCAGACCCATCGCGCTGGGCGTCCCACCACCAGAGAATGGAGACACCATAGATGAACGGATAAATCTTGAAATGTACAGCAAGGCCCAGGATAAGCCCAGCAAGGATAGGCTTCTTCGTCAAAGTTGCCCACAGCAGCGCCGCAACAAGCACGCCGAGCAGTCCTTCTGAACTACCACGGGTACTGATATTGGCTACCATGGGATTCCACAGCCAAACAGCGGCAACATATCGCAGCGCGCGCTCGACAGGAAAGCGATAGCATCGGACAAGTAGCTGGACAACAAGCCATCCAGCAAGAACATCAGATAATGCAAAAAGCGCCTTTCCAAAGGCGAAAGTCAGTGTTGACCAAGGCGCTGCACCCTCCCATGCAGTCGGGAGAAGCATCCACGCCAAGAGTGGCGTGTAGCGGTAAGTATCACGAGCATAGGGCGACTCGCCCTTTGCAACATAGTGCGCAGCATCAGTAAACACCATGTAGTCAATATCGGTGTATTTCACAGCGGAATTCGCGTCCTGCCATCCTCCATAGACGAGGAGGATGAGGCGCAGGGCTGTCGCAGCGAGGAAGACTCGCGCTGGAGAGTTGAAGAGACCCATTTCTTTCTTCCACTTTTGTCCTTTGATAACGACCAAATGAAGAAATTAAAGATTTCTCGATTGTCTGTTGCGGCTAGCTCGCATAATTGGGCGGTTTGATGAACCCCTTGGCGGATGTGGTGGGAGGAAGTAAGGAGCTGCACATCCAACCAATTTTCTTGGCCTTGAGATCTGTAGTGACCGTGAGTGTGAATTAATTTACTTCAATTCCATTCCATGCAGTTCGTGTCTGGTAAATTAGCGGATGTTTACATGGAAGATGTTGATGCCACCTCCAGGCCCTTAAGCCTGATGCCAGGCTGACTCAGCATGGTCCGTGTCCACTGCGAGATTGCCTAATCGGGACGGGAAGTATATCTCCAAGCCATGTACATACATGTGTAGTTATTGAAGCACCGTTCAGACTGGTTGGTCACTTTTGATGCCTCATTTGGACTTGAAGGTTGGATATAGTTTATCTCTGGTTGGTTCCATGGTGTCTTCCACAGTTGTACACTGACTCCCGTGATATATTTTGAGACTTGAGTATTCATACAGATATAAGGTGTATATGTTCCGTACATATACTATGGATTTAAGCAGAACTGACTGCTGTACCCGAGGTTGTAAATCCGGTGCGAGCAACAATTCCCTAGAAATATATATCTCGCTCATAGATACATACTATCTACCATAAATTACTCTATACACCATCAAAGAAGAACGCTAGACTTTAAAACTTAGGTATATGATAACAATATCAAATTAATAAATACAGGTTCATTTTATAAAATTTCAACTGATATTATAGGCCTAATATGGTTGAAGAAGAGGACTGATACCTGCCAGTTCTTCAGGCTAAAGAGTGCATTCGATTCAAAATACTAAGTACAGGGATCAAAAGAAAGGATCAGTCGAGGCAGGATCCTTTGTGGGATCCTGTCGTAAGCAAGCAAACAAACAATGCAAACAGTAGAAGAAAGCGGTCAACGAGAGCAGAAAGTATACTGTCCAGATCGTCACAACTGACAAAACAAGTGTAAATAACAGTAATTTATTCTCCTATGTCAGCAAATTATACGTCCGCTTTATGAAATTTTATGCAAAGTTGAGCACTTGGGCATGCCCATCATGGGCGGGCGCTGCCATGTCCCAAAAGCCCAAGGCCCACCGTGGGCGGGCCTTGGGAGGGCATTGTCGCAGTCTATCGAGATGTCCTATATAAAAGTTTTTATGATCGGGGCCGCGTACCCATATGCAGGGGGCCAAGTCAATCAGATCTCGTATAGGTTAGCGTAACAGCACACGACATATGACTGTAATCAGCAATATACGAAAGCAGGCTAGCCACGTACCTAGGCTCTCAAGTGCGGGCAAGAAGCGGAGGTGTGTGTGTTTGTGTTATGCTTTTTTGTCTCTCCGTCTCTTTACTCCCTTATTTCTTTCTTCTTCCTACACGCACTTGTATAGATAGCCTCGAGTAGTAACCAAGCCCGTCCACCTATACGTCCGCACTTGACCTTCTGACATCAAGGATCATCGAGTCTCAGGATTCAGTATCTTAGGCGCTAACACTAAGCCAATCGGATTTCGTATAGGTAGGTGTAACAGCACGCGACATGTTACTATAATCAGTGATAACGAAATATAGGCTAGCCATATAATAATAATAGTAACTTATTGCTAAAAGCAAAAAGGACATAAAGCGGGTCATAAGGATTCATCGGGGTCTTGGTTGGTTGATATATGTACTTTACTAGATGGCTGCCTCGCCGCTTTCCGCTACTAATTTAAAAGCTTAAAAAGATAAGCAATATAAAGATCAACCAATTGTGGAGAGGTGGGGCACTATAGGAATACTACGTAGGGTCCGATTTTTTAGCCTATCACTTCGGATAAATAGTACGAAAATGAGATTTATTACTTAAATTTACGTTATTTTTTAGGTAAATCTATAGGTAATCTATTATTATATATGTAGGAGCAGCCTACGGATAAGCCTTTATTATTTAATTATTAAAATAGGTTAGAATTATGTTCTTATAGATAATAAGTCGGTACTAACTGCTGTAAGTGAGTAAGTAGTATAAGGACAGTGTTCCTGAATCATTCCTTTCCCTTCTTCCTCCTTCTCCTTAATAGTTTACTTTTTACTTTACCTTATATTTCTATGTTGATTATACCTCTATTCTACGTCTCACCCTTTTACCCGGAGGGCTTCGGGCGTACGAAGCTATCGATTAGACCAATGTCTCTAAGCCGGCAAAGGCAGCGAGCACCCTGCAAAGCTATCAGATACAATAAGGCATACGTGGACATTATCAATGCAGCACGCATTTTACAAGTTCGAGGTGTACTGATGCTCAGCCAACAAACCCGCGCTCGCGAGGCTGTTACAGTGCTAGAGACACCGTAACATTCTCTAAGTCGTTAGAAGTATCGTGAATTTCTCTGACATTCACAGAAAGTGCGGTCCGTATAGCGTGCTGTTATGTGTGGTAGAATTGGGCTAGCACAAAGCTACTACCATGAGGAATAACGATCGCGCGGCTCTTATTGATCAACTTCAAATGAGTAAAAATCAGCTGCCAATCTGTTGTTCAGATGTCCGATTTTTCTCTATTAATCATGATCCACCCTACACTATATATATAATTGTAGCTGCTTTCACCGCAAATTATAGATGACGATAATGTATTGTATATCTATTGGACAAACTTAACTTTCCCAAAATCAAATTTCCTTAACAGACTCATGGTCAACTTCGAACAATCAACTCCGTCCAATACCTGGGCTGGCTATAATATGTAACGCAGATCTACTTCACTGTGAGTTCTAGTATCTTTCAATAATAAGGACCCTCCATAAAATACTGAGCAGCCCTAGGGGCTTGAACCACTTAGAGTGCTTTCTGGTTTCCGCGAACTCACCCTATCATTAGTACAGTACTAAATGAATTTCTATTAATCAAATTTTTTACCAATGAAATCTCCACT